TGAAAGGTAGCTGAAGCTGTGGGAAACTATCAAACTTTTCTTCTTCACATTTCCAACTTCCTATTCCAATACATGCTCTTACCTTTGGGAAAGGTATGAATCCTTTTCTTCTCCCCACCCCCTTAGTTATAGGTAAATAGCAGGACAGACCGAGTTCTCTAGCCTTGGATGGCAACTGGTCTACCGCAGAAAGAAATGGTAACCTATTGTGGGAAAAAATCTGCCTCGTCAGTCCTGTATTGAAGGATACTTGATCGCCTAAGCATGTATCACGCATGGCACATAACTGACTGATATGGCTGAATGTGGTTTCAATGTAGTTACACAGCATTTTATTAAACAAAGAAACCACCTGAAATTTACAAAACGAAGAGTTATATGATTACTTCTAAGCAACATGGAACCTAGAATAAGAGCCTTAAGCCAGTAAACACCAAAGTCAGCCAATGCATTGAAAACATTGAGATAATTTATTAAATAATTTTTTTTTAGCATTTTAATCATTGGCATTTATAATAGAAATGAAAACAATATTAAAATTATTTTTGCACTAATACCTAAGTGCTAACTTACTATGAAAAATGAATTGGGAAACACTGTTCTAAAGTAAGATGCATATCGCCAGATGAACTAATGAATGTAACTTCTATTATTTTCTCTCCTTTTCTCATATACACACACAATTTTCCCAAGCCAAAGCCGTTACAAGGTTTTTGTGCCCTGCCATCTATGATACGAGTCCTCAAAATCTACGATACACCACCTCCAAATGTATGATACTAGGCTCTCCAATCTACTACATTTCAATTTTCATAAGGTAGTATTCATATATAATACAAATTTTATTGTAACCTAATTATGCTTAATAATGGATGAACAGTTCAGCTAGAAAAATTGTAAATAAATACAGTGTATCTAAATAGAAATTAGAGACATGTCATAATAGATGATTCCATCTTAAATAAATCAACAATATTTTGCTGCAGTTTTTAACATCAACTTGAGATTTTTCTTGTTAAAAAGTTAAATAATTTTAGCACATTCAACATTATGGATAAAAAATAGTGAATTTTATATAGTGTCTTTTTGAGTGAAACAAATTCACAGATTTGGACAAAAAAAAACAAAACAGTATGATATCAAATTTTGCGAAAACTTTTCATCCTTTAATAGTCAGTTGTGCTTAATTTAAATTGTAATGTATGTAAATGTAAGTAGAAAAGAAACCAAATGTTGATAAGATAGTGAGGGCCACAAAGCACTATCTGTGGCCCCCAATAAAGTTTTTACCCAACTCTGATTGAGGGGTTTGTGGGTAGTATACACAGGCCATATCCCAACCATTACCCCAAATGTTTAGATAAGTCTCATTCCTTAAACCCAACTTTACTGCCAAGACCCACCATGCTATGTACATAGAGCTGAATTGTACTCATTCCTTGCTATTTTATTAGTAAGAAGGAAGTTACTAAACTTCTTTTGAAGAATGGCAATTTTATGAAACAAACTCCTAAGATGCTTTCCTGTTTACTATAATCTTAACCTCTAAAGTCAACCATTATTTATTCTACATATCCTGATAATCTGTACTTAATTTTCCTCTTACATGCATACAATACTTTCAGTCAGTAAACCTCTACATTGAGTGGCTCTTAGGCCTAGTACTAGATGAATTTTTGTTAAAAAAAAAGAAAGATTTTCATATGGGTTAGCAGGATCAGTCTGGGTCAGCGTGAGTAGTGAGATCAATCCTCAATGGATGCCCCAGACAAATAATTTCACATTAAATAACTTAAGGATTGCCATGTAAAATTCACAAATAATTTGACATTAAATAACTTGTCACAAAATTCACCAACCCAACAATTTCTTCACATACATAAAATTATGAACATATGATCACAGATTTTTTTTTCTCAAATAATACATTTTTGATATCTCTGATTTACTAACCCACAGATGTAAACACAGAAACTTGCCATTAAAAAAAACGATCTTTGATTACAAACGTTCAAATACATATGAAGCACATACATACAGTTTTCCAAAGTACACTGACACTAAGCATTTAACTTACACAGACAAACTGAACAGCATTGAAGTTCAAACCCATGTAGATATGCACCCTCATCATTTAACAAATCCATCACTTCCATATTTGCTGAAAATGTCCGTGAAGCAAGGTCTCTTTGACATGATTCCCCATTTGGCACAGCCGCTTAATTACAGACAAAACCCAAAGAAAATGGACCTCATTGTCGGTCTTTAATTATAATTACAGGAATTTTCTCAGAGGTGCCTCATTCCCCCCACCACCATGTCAATTATTGGCAATCTTCCCTCTCTTCCCCCTGACAAGCAGACATTCTTGTCTGTCGATTCTGTTAAAAGACTTTGATGGAGGTATTCACTACTGTGAAAAGATTTTTTCTTCTTTATTTTTCTTCTTTTTTTTTTTTTTTTACAGATGGCTGAGAAGAATTTGTTTTGTTGGTTTTGTTTGCATATAGAACATGTATGTAGATGCACATGTGTTGAAACAACCGACTTAGAAAATCATTTCTCTTTTTGTTTACTTACATCCTTCAGTCATTAAATACTGGGTTTATAGCGACGTACCAATGATAAAAGCCATTCTTTTACTAATTAAATTTAAATAATGATTTTAAATAACAGTTTAATTAATTTTAGATGTTTTGAAGTGCATGCATATATTTACCAGGTTTGTATGTGAGTGCAGATAAACAGAAACAATTAATGAATAGAAATAATTCCGTCTTTTTCTTCAATGATTTTATTTTTGAATTTGATCTATAACTAATTGCTACAGTTCCAAATTAATGGCCATAAAATCCAAAAGCAAATTGTTAATCTTGCTCTGACTAATAGGAATGTTTAGGATAGGCACTTATTTTTAGCTACAAGCTTTTCCATGTGAGTGTGTGTGCATATATATATATTGGTGTGATGAAAATATAGTTTTAAGGTATGCAATATTTATAGATAAAAGTGCTCAATATCAGGGATAGAGCATATGTAAATATAAGCATGGGCACTGAAATCAACACCGAGTGGTGACAGTCCGTTTCATGTTTGTATGTGACTGTAAGGCCATGAAGATTTCATTCAAGCGTTTTATCATATATATATATATGATAAAATACTTGAATAAATAAATATATATATATATATATATATATATATATATATATATATATATATATATATATATATATATATATACATATGATAAAATACTTGAATGAAAAAAAAAATATATATATATATATATATATATATATATATATATGAATGATAAAATGCTTGAATGAAATCTTCATGGCCTTACAGTTACA